CTGCTTGCACACTTTGCATATTTTAAATATCTTACAATTTTATATGTCAATCATACCTCAATAAAGCTGGAAAAATTTATGAATTGATGAGTCAAGATGAAAGTATAATTTTGAAGGAAAAATCATAGCAATGATTATGAGGATCATTCAAATGAGTGTCTATTGTCTTAAAAATAGAGAGAATCTTACAAAATACACCAATGCATTTTTCTACTTTTAGAACATATATATTTTTATTTCACTTCACCAAAACATTAAATCAATGTTTCTTTTAATATTATTAATTTTGTACTTTTAATATGTAGATTGGTTTGGATGTTATATTTTGTAACCATAGGAATTTATACCTTATTTATGTAAGTAACACTGTATTTATATTATTAATATTTGAATAGCATTATCGTGAAATAATGTGTCAACACTGGATGCCATATATTTCTTTTCCTTGAAGCGGGCTCTACTCATTACTTAAGTTGGAGAGGTGATGTAACAGGACCATGAGAGAAATAGACTTGAATAGACTATGCCCCCCACATAGTCTATGCCCCTTACATGTGCATTTTAATCAATTCTGATTTGCATGGGGGCATTTGCTTTGTCAATGTTTCTTCTCGCCCACCAAGTAGGGATGTAGAGTTGTGGCAAAAGTTCCTGTTACATAAATTACTTTTGCTCATCACCAAAGTGCAGAAAATAGGGTTTAAAGAAATCAGCTGGAGTGGCTTGCTTTCAACACCCAGGGCTAGTTATGCAAGGCCATGTCAGTTCCTACCAAAGATTCCTCCTCACCCTTGGTGTACACAGCAAGGTAAGGAGCTGTGGACTGAGGAGCACCTGTCAGCTTCTCCAAGGTCTCCCCACAATCATCACCCCTACGGCAGGTATTCTCAGGGGAAGACTGCTCATTGAATTTGTGAGTTCACTGTTCAGATTTCAATCTATTTTCCCTATTACTTTCAGTAAATTTATTTTAAAAACATTCCTCCTTTGAATAACGTTTGTTTTTTGTGGTGCCAATATTATACTTTTAAATTTTCTTTAGGGTCATGAAAGGATGCTGGTTATGGTCCATGAACTCACAGAAATTATAAACCATACCGAAGGAAGGGATCAGTCCATCTGAGGAGCGTGTTAAAAGAAACTGAAGACGGATAAAGATATGAAGCTGCAGGAAGGGGATGAAATGGAGGAAGAGGAGGAAAAAGAGAATACCACATCTTGGCCCCAAAGTAAGGCTTTTTGATGTAGAAATATATAGTTTCTAAATCGATAGCACAAATTTACATCAATGTACAAAATATGGATGTAAAAATTGTTTAGCCTATTTGTGAAAATTACACTTGTTGATAAGTAACTGAATCATTCAGATTCAAAACCAATATTTGAAGGTTTATGACTAAACTGTTGTCTGTAAAAGGCATGGCTTGTTATGTTCTGCTTATACTTTTGTTTCACTTTTATCAGTTCCGCAGGACAGGGTCATGGTGCAAAAGGGGTTTTACCAGAAATGAGTATTGAGTAACGGTCTCATCTTAAAATAGTTTTGCAACTTGTTATGCCTAAGAGCATTTGCAGAAAAATTAGTGTCCCTTAAGAACTATTAAGCAGATCAGTTCGCCTATCCCTAGATCAGATTTTTAAAGATCATTCTCTTTCACGGAAAATATTCTATTTGTACGCATACAACAGGCAGTGCATGTTAAACTTCAGGCCTCTTAGAAGTATGCCAATATGTAAGATGTAAATTTTCACTTAGTTGCAATTTGGGTTAAAATAAGAATACAACAGTGTCTTTTAAGGAACTATAGGCAGAGAAAACATTTAATTAAATCAAAATAGCAGTTTTCACCACTTGATTTCTACCCTCCTTCTGTACCTGGCACAGCAAAATAAGCTTACAGAACAACAAAAAATTTGCTTTTCTATGAGTTATTTGTTGCATGTTTTAAAGTGGTTTTTCTAAGCTTACTTAGAATTTTTTCTGGGTTAATAGAGTTATTGAATTTTCAGGGAAATCAGAATGAAAATGAAATGCTAGAGGAAGAACGTCGGTGTTTAGATTGCATAGCAGTGGCCTTCTTTGGAAGCCTCTCACACTCAGAGGTTCTTCTCCTGTAGCCTGTAACTTGGATCTGGACTTGAGGATAGTAAAGGGATCATGGGTAGGAGCCTAGAGGTGACCTGGTGACTCAATGGTGGCATATATAGTCTACTTTTTCCTTAGGAATCTTTTCTGTTCTTTTAGCAATTTAAGAACCCCTGCACCTTGAGGCCAGATTCCCTCCTTTTCTTCTATGCAAATCTTAGCCACCTGTGGAGGGCGGGCAGGAGAAACTGAAGAGAGAAAAGAGAGAGAGAGAGAGAGAGAGAAAGGGGCTGGCTCATTCAGTTGCTGAGGCCTAGACGTCCCAATATCTGCAGATGCAGGCTGGGCCCCCAGGAAAGTTGGTGACCTAATTCCAGTTTGAGTTTGAAGGCCTGCGAAGCTGGAGAGCAAATGGTGTCCAGACTGAAGGCAAGTCAAAGGCAGGAGAAAGCTGATGCCCCAGGTTAAAGACAGTCAAGCCAAGAGAGAAAAACTCTCCCCTCCCTTGCCTTTTGTTCTATTCAGGTTTTAAGCAGATAGATGAGTCCCACCCACACTGAGAAGGGCAATCAATCTGATTTACTCAGTCTACCAATTCAAAGGTATTGTCATCCAGAAACACCTTTACAGATACACCTAGAATAATGTTTAATATACTACCTGGAAACCCTGTGGCCCAGTCAAGTGACACATAAAATTAACTGTCACAGCTTCCTAACCGATTGGCTTGCTTACACCCTTGTCCCCCCCCCCCCATCTATACTCAACACAACAGTAGGGGTGGGGGGAAAGCACATCATGTGGCTCCTTCGCTAAAAATTCTTCAATAGTTTCCCTTATCAAGCAAAGTAAGATTTAAAAACTATCATGACCACCAAGGCCCTACATGTTTCGTTCCCTAGCCCTCACCCCACCACTTCTCACTCTGTCCCCTCTCATTTTGTTCCTCCCACACAAGATTATACCAAGAAGCCAAGCTTGCTCTTGCCTTTACCTTTACAGACCCCTCCAGCTTGAAATGGTCTTACCCCATTTCATTGTTTCCCCTCTCGACAGTTTACCTATCTTGAAAGACTTGGTATATATTCTATCCCCTCACCCTTTTTATTTTGCTTTATTTTTAAAATAAACTTTATTTTTTTGAAATAGTTTTAGATTTACATAAAAATTGCAAAGCAGGGGTGCCCAAACTGTGGCTCATGGGCCACACGCAGCCCAGGATGGCCATGAATGTGGCCAAACTCAAAATCGTAAATTTACTTAAAACGTTATGAGATTCCTTTTGTGTGTGTGTGTGTGTGATTATGTATTGCAGCATATTTAATGTGTGGCCCAAGACAATTCTTCTTCTTCTGGTATGGTGCAGAGATGCCAAAAGGTTGGCTGTCCCTGGTTCCATAAACCTCATTCCCATTTTTCTTTATTATTACCATCTTACATCAGTATGATAAATCATCCCAACTAAGGAACCCATCCTGACATTTCAGTAGTAATAAAAGTCCACACTTAATTCAGGTTTCCTTAGTTTTTACCTAATATCCTTCTGTCCCGGGACCCCATCCTATATAACCACATCACATGTAATTGTGAGTTTCCTTAGGCTTCCCCAGGCTAGAGCAGTTTTTCAGATTTGCCTTGTTTTGGATGACGTTGACGGCTCTGAGGAATATTTGTCTGGTGTTTTGTAGAATGTCCCACTATTGGAATCTGATGTTTTTTTTTCTAATGGTAAGACCAGGGTTGTGTGTTTTTGGGGAGGAAGACCACAGAGGAAAAGTGACATTTTCATCGCATCATATGAAGAGTACATGCTATTGATATGATCATGACTGTTAATGTTGTTGACCTTGATTGCCTGGCTTGAGGTAGTGGTTTTCAGGTATCCCCAATGTAGAGTTACTCCTTTTCTCCATTCCATGCTTTTGGGGAAAAAGTCACTGTGAGCAAACCATATAGGAAATCTTCTGCAGGGGAGATTTATCCCTTCTCCACCATTTATTTATTCAACCATTTATTTATATCATTATGGGCTCATGGATTTCTTTGTTTACGGTTGTAATCCAATAGTGCTTTATTTTGTATCAAATTGTTCAGTTGTGGCCATTGGGAGCTCCTGCATGTCCTTGACATTAGTGCAGGCCTGTTCCTTCCTTGAGCACTTCTTGTAATTTTTCACCCTCAGCCTTACTTTTCAAGATACTTACCACATACTGTACCCACATATAATAGCTCACATAACACACGCTTATCTGTTTATCTTTCGCCACTGGAATGCCAGGCCCTTGAGGGCATAAAGTCTTGCGGCATTTTTGACCACAGTTGTAGCCTCAGTGCTGGAGTGGACGCTCACTTGATAGCAAACGAATGAATGACCCCGACTGGTGTTAGGCTGGCTCGAGAGAGGTGAGGCCGGGTCGGTTCTGGGAAGACCAAGCCCCTGCTCAGCTTCGCCGTGACGCTCAGCCTTCCGGGCAGCTCAGGAGCCGCGGCAGGTGCAGGGCGGACCGCAGCCTCGCGCGGTCACACCCACGCTGCGACCCTGAAGCAAGTGTCCGCGCCGCGGAAAATCAACCGACGGACAAACGTCACAGGCGCCGCGGGGATTCCCGGGGAAAATCCTGTCCACCTCTCCGTGCCGGCGGAGGGGTGGGCACGAAAAAGGGTGGTGGGGAGGAGGGTATCATGCCGGGGGCAGCACCTGGAGCGAAGGGGCGGGCCGAGGAGGGGAGGAGGCAGGTGTGGGTCCGCCCCGCTCCCCGCGGTCAGGAGCGCACCCACTCGAGGCGGGGCGGGGACAGACGCTGGGACCCAGCACTGTCCTCCCGGGGCGGGGCCTGGTGCCCAGCTGTGAGCGCTTCCGACGCCCAGGGGGCCGGGCCGGCGGCGCCCAGATGCGGCGACGGCGGCGGCGCGGAGGTCTGGCGGCGCTGGAAGAGCCGCCAGAGGCGTGGGGAGTCGCGCAGCAGGTTTCCTGACTCTGCGCCCAGCGCGGGAGGGGCGCCCGCGCAGGACAGGGCGTCTGGGTTCGCACGCTCCGGCCCGTTCCCGGTTCGTTTTTCTCTTTTTCTCTCCTTAACCGCTCCAGGCGCGATGACGCGCTCCGCGAAACTGTGCGCTCAGAGCTGCGGGATCGGGGCTCCTCCGAGGAGGGGGGGCTGGCTGGCTCCGGGACGCGAGGGATGCCCTCGGGGGCCTTTCGGGTCTGGCCCGGTGCTCGCGCCGGCTCGTGGCACCTCTGGGAACACGGCCGTGGGTTTCTCCTGTAGAGAGGCGTGATTCTTTCTCCCATGGGGCAGGGAAGGGACTGCGCATATAGGGCTTCCAGAAATTATTTTAGATACTTGTTGATAGGCTTCCCTTAAGTATTCGCTTAGGACTAATTTTACTTTAAGTCAAAAGGTTGGAGTTTTGTTTTTGTAATTAGTAGGGGGCATTACTTCGCTTGGATCACCTCTTCACTTCCTATTAGGTTACACTTTTTCAAAAATACCACCGGAGTGGTTACTTGTTGACTTCACAGTATGAGCAAGGAGCTAGGAAATACCGAGAAACTGACGCAGCTTTGAAACAGCTCCTTATAAGCCCACAGGAGACTTTTTCTTTTTAGGACACTGAAAACAAGAAGTAGTGGCAGCACCTTTGTGTACCCCACTGCCCGAGAGGGAACTGTGGAGTCCACGGACACCAGCCGAGCTCAGTATGATTACTTCCTGTGGTTCTCATGCGCTTGTTTAAGCCGTTTCTCAGCAAAGGGAGGAGTTGTTATTTCCACGTGGGTATCCAAAAATGAGTCACAGGCCGCTCTTTTAATTGTGAGACTTTGTTAATGAACTTTTGAAAAGTGAGGTTTGCTCTCGCCGTGTTTTAAAATAAGACTAAGCTGTGAAATGGGTACGCTGCTGCCCTGGCGTGGGGGGTATAGGAAGTAACCGGTCAGGTTCTCAGTTTCCTAAAGCGCCCGCCTGCTGGTTGGTACAACATACCAGCTAGGGTCACTAGGCTGATGTTAGATAACCATTGAAATCACATGGTTTGCCACAGAGGCCCAAGAGAACATTAATTTCATAATTCAATAGATGATTTGTTATTACTTTCACTGGCATGGTCTGGTGGAGACGTCATTTTACGTAGTGATTGTGTATCACTCTCTCTGAATCAAAATCTTTCGGGTCGTTTGTCTTCAGTAAAGTAGTGCTAGAACCACATGAAAATTTTTGAGGAAGGTGGATACCAGTTGCAACTGAGAAATTAAAATGTTTACACTGATAGGTCTTATTGCAGTTGGGCAGCAGCCCTTAGGCTGCTTAGGTAGGAACTTCGAAGAGAAAAGGGCGCAGCATCCCTGCTGGGGCCGAGCTGAGCCCAGGCAGCCCCGCGCACAGCCATTGGACGCCCGGTCTCTGCCAGCTTCTTCACGGAGCTCTGTTCATTCATGAGTAAGACAGGGCCCTGCCCGCAAGGGGGCTGAACTCTAGTGTGGGAGGTCAGACACCCGCTGGAAAGTCCAGTGGAAGGAGATGAGCACTATGACAAATCCATGCCCAGAGCCTGGCTTCTGTTCCAACGTGACTGAGGGTTGTGCAAGTCCGGGATTTGAATGAACTGGGTCATCATTGCTGGGAAAATAAGGAAGGTTTGCCTTTAATCATCCACTTGTCTTTGTAAGCGGCCCGTTGTGCTTATTCAATACATGTTTATTCAGTAAATGATGTAAAATATATTAATTAGAAAGACGTGTTTTTTAAAGTTGTTTCAATTAACTGTATTTTGTATTATTTCATAACCATGTAAAAATAAACCCCACCTGTTATTACCCCTAGACAATCACAGAAACTCTTGGTTACTCACCTTTTACAAAATAGTGACTAATTCATGGCTTATAACTTCATAACACTGTAGTGAAGCAACATTCTGATCACTGTTTTTATAGTTCAAATCAACCTTTTCTAACACATTGTAGCTGTATGAGTCAAAACAAGTAAAGCCACTGTGTCAGAGCTTATTGTTAGGACTGAAATCAGCTGAAGTATTTTTGGACTTGATGCCAAAATATATGCAATTTCTCTAATTCTGTAAGATACCCAACCAGTGAGAGTAATAGTGCTAAATCTGAGACAAGTTTACCTGAATTTTCATAGTTCATTTCTCCCTCAGGAGCCTCAGATGCACTCTTTCCTTGACAAAGAAAGGGTTGAGTGTGTTCCTCATCACACTCCCTGAACGTGGCACAGAGTCCACTGCTGACAAGTGTTAGGAAGTGTTTATTGATTAAATAACAAACTTTAATGTAAGCGGTGGGGGTCTGTCAGGAAGATGGAAGGATAGGAGGCGGCTCAGCAGCGGGATCGGTGTCATACAGCCAGGGAACTGCAGCCTGTTTAGTGTGGGCACACGGTGAAGGCTGGGGAGAGGGCCGGAGAGACAGGCTGGCCCACATCACACAGGCCTGTGTGCCGGGTAGGAGCTGCGCGTTTATCTTATAAAGGGCTTGAAGCAAGTGCATGATATTGCCAGATAGGTGTTTTCAAAAGACAATTTAGAATCAAGATGGAGAGTAGATCGTGAGAGGGACACTAGCCATCGGGAGACGCAGAGGAGGTTACACAATGTTTGAGAAGAGAAATTAAAGAAGGTTTGAGTCAGGCAGTGATAGTGAGGAATAGAAAAGGGAGAAGGGGCGACCGTTGTTTAATAGGTGAAACCTGGCCCTCTTTAGAAGTGGGCAGTGGTAGTGAGGAGAGGGGGGAATTTACGATGACTCCCACATTCCTAGCTGATGACTGAGATAGGGACAGAAGTTGAAGAAGAGGAAAATGAACTGAAGGATAATGAAGACCTCATACAGTCCTTGATGCATAGTCAGCATTCATTAAACATTTTTGAATGAATGAATAAATAATAATAGCTAAAATTTAGTGAGTGCTTATTAGTGCCAGGCACTATTCTAGGTTCATTATGTGAATTCAGTCTTTTATTACTCACTGCAACCTTGTGAAGTAAGTACTATAAATGACTGCTTTTGGCAGGTGAAGGAAGCGCAATGTTAGTAATGGATAAAGCCAGAAAGGGATCCCAAGCATTTGGCTCCATAACCTGCATTCTGAACCATACTGCTATGATATGCTGTCTCCATGAATGAGTGAATGAATGAATGAATTAAGTCTTGGGCACTGTGGTAAACTCAGGTTGGGGTCATTGTTCTGATCCCAACAGTTCTTTTTCATCCAGGAAAAGCCTAATACATTGGATGGGCCCCATGTGGCCCTCCTGTGCTCCATGGCAACCCGGCCCCTAGCTACACCCCAAAGTATACCTGGTTGATCTAGGAACGAGCCTATAATAATTGGGAATTTTAAGCATTGTAATGGAGACTCACAGCGACTGGAGGTTCCCAGAGCTTCAACAGTTGTGTCCTCAGAACTGCCTTGGTTACCTTGCTTCCCAAGCATTAAAAGTGAGTGCTTTGTGTTTCTTGGATGCATACAAAGTTCTGTGGCTAAGACCTGTAATATCCCTCCAAAGGGGAAGCAAAAAAAGCTAGTCTGGGGGTATTCATCTGCAGAGCATGGTCAGATGGTGGAAGACTCACTCACAAATGCAGGCAGGTCCATAACAACTCCATCACACTCCTGGTTTGTGATCTGCCTTCTGGAGCCTATTTTATTCTGGGTTTACCCCAAAGCAGGTGCTTACCTACCCCCTCCTGCCTTTAACTTCCAGAATTTTATTAATCCAGAAGCTGGTCTGTTGTGTCCCCTGTCTTCTTGATTTTGGCCGGGCAAAATGGCTCAAGTTCCCTGGGCTCAGGCCCTGCTCTCCATTTGCTGCGTACGGGAAGATTCCTTTGGTCCAGTAAAGATATTTTGGACTAACAACCCCACCCCCCTTCCCCTCTAAACTGTCCCCAACTCTTCACTATTTGCATTGTTTCATGATTCAGCCCACCTTAACTCTGATTTTTGATCAGCAGGCAGTGTCTAGTTATTTTTTTCTGAGAGGCCTCTATATTGGGCCACTTAAGGATTCTAAACACTGAACTAAGGTGCCTAAACCGAATCAGCAACCTCATTTTAAGTTTGAAGTTCTTACATGTTTTCTCCACACATGAAGAAAATATTTCATTCAGCATTTCTTCAGATTTATTAGGAAATCAAGATATTTATTTATAGCTTCCCATTATTTGAGACTGACAGCCTTCTGGGATGATGCAGCCCACGTCTCAACCTCTTGGTCTGAATTCCTATATTCCTGCCTGTGATTCATTCACTGCTTACATAACAAGGGAAAGGTTTGTGTTAATATTTTACATGGGTTGGTCTTGCCTCTTTGTTTCGACTGTGGTTTCCTTGAGAGCAGAGAGCAAAGTTGAGGGGTCTGGTAGGTCTCTAAGGTCCTCACAGCTCTAAACAACTGTGACATTTACTGATAAAGAAACCATCTGTCAGAGTAAGTCATCTGTTGGTCACCCCTTCTGGGTCTATGGGCATCAGACGTTATTTGCGTATCGCATGCAAGTTCTTGGTAAGGCTTAACAGTTTGGTAATTTTAATGTGAAACTGAGTTTTAGAATTGGTAATTTCCAAGTATCCATCTTGATCTAATCAAATATTTTCAACTTATTTTGTGTGCTATTACATTTTTATTTTCAGTGGATACAGAATCAGGGTAATCCCCAAAATATTAACTTGCCTAGAAAAGCAGTCCTCATTTTATATACCCAAATATTTTATTTCTTTCTCTTTCAAAATGACCTTCCATTACTCACTGCATAACTTATTGGGTAATAATGTGAATTCTGACTTTCTCCAGTAGTGGAAATTGCCCTGTTGCTCTCTTTAGATGGAAACAGTGAACACGTATTGTTCTGTTTCAGTTTCAGGATTGTAGCAATGCACATCTCATTTCCTGGTTTTATTTCTAATTTTCTATTATGAGTGTGGTGTCTTCATTAGTCACCCAAATCTGTTACTTGAGATAAATTAGATCATCTGTGAGCCAAATTGTATCATATCAGTAGGTGTCCCACTTCCTCCCCCTCTTCCCTGATT